CACACACACACACACACACACACACACACACACACACACACACACACACACACCAGTCTGGGATGCTTTGTGTCCATTCCCCCCGACTCCCCGTCCCCGCCTGGCCCATCAGACAGTCTAGGATGGCCCCCCTCCCCCATCAGTCCCACCGCTCCAAAGGAGGGTGCAGTACAGCGGGGGCTTCTTGTCTCTGTTTCTCAAAGGAATCAGGCTCTGTGGCTGTTTGAAATTCTCTTTAAGATTTTGGGGAGGGGGGAGAGGATGCTGGGAGTCCCACGCTATCGTCTCCTGCACCCTTAGCCCACCTGTCCTGGGGCTCGGAGGGGGCTAGGTAAAGGCTCTCAGAGGGAGCCTCGCTTTCCAGACAAGCCATGAGTGACCACTGGAGGGCAGCATCGGCCTGGGCCCGGGCTTCTCCCTGCTGCCCGCCGTCAGGGCCTGGTCCACGCCTCCCTTTACAGAGGAGGACCCTGTGGCCTAGTGTGGGCCCTTCTAGCTCTTTTCCCTGCCCCTCCCCCCATCTGTCTTCAGTTCCAGGCATTAGACAGAATGAGGGACGGCGCTGACCGCTTTGGCCTAGTGGTTCCCAGGACTTCCCTGAAGAGAGAAGGGGAGATTTAGAGCCCGTTCACACCCTGCCCTGGGCACTGCCTTCTCTGTGCCTCAGTTTCCTCATCTGTAAAAGGAGGAGGTGGAGTTGGCCAGTCTTTGATGATCTTTGTCCTGAATCCTTAACTTTCCTGGGCCCAGCGTGCAGGGAGTGACCCCAGTGACCCCCAGGGCCTCTCCATCTCTGACTCATCTGGAGGAAGGACAGGGAGGGACACGTGTGAGACACCAGGCCAGGGGAGGCCCTGTGTAGCCTCGTGGGTCAAGGACCGGCAGGCCCTCAGAGGCCATCAAATTCCATCCACAGGCATTAATTAAGCACCTGCCGCACTGGCTGCTGGGTACGCAGCCGCACAAAACGAAAGTGAGACGGGGCCTGCCCCCCCCCAGGCCCCCGGGAGCTTGGACTCAGGTGTGACTGGGGAGCGTCTGCTTTAGACCAGCTGGGCCCGCCCTGCCATTTACAGAGAAGGAGACTGAGGCCCTGAGCATAGCATGGAAGGCACTTGCCGTAGGTCACGCACGTAAAGAGGAACAGGGCAGAAGCAAGAGCGGGATGATCAGGGGGCTGTGGTCAGTCTGCTGATCCTGGGACACGCAGGAGGAATGTCGATAAATCAAGCAGCTCTCGCCCCGTCCGCTCGGGTGGCGCCAAGCTGTGCGTTGGGGGGTCAGTGGCGGTGACCGGCTCAGGCACTTGGCCTCCTGGCTCCAGGGGACCCTCCTGCCCTGGCCTTTCCCTCAGCGAGCACCATTTATGCTCCATCGGCATACGCCCTCCCGGGGCGCCTGGTGTGTGGTAGGCACTCAGCAGATAATGGAGCTGACGTGAATCGTGAAGGCCAGCTTGGTCCCCGGGGGGGACAGAGCCGGTGGTTAATGGCCACTGTTGACATGGGGACGACCCCACTTCAGTCATCTTGTGATGGTGATGAAAACGACAACAGTAGTAACCACGACGCCGTTGACGGGGTATGCGCATGGGTGACAGCCCTGCAGGGGAGTAGCCATTGTCCCCGTTTTACATATGGGGAAACTGAGGCTCAGAGGAGAAGCAGCTCGCCCAGGGTCACACAGTAAGCATCTGCGGCAGAATTCAAACTCGATTTTCCCGGGTCTGAGTCGGGTGCTCTGTTCTACGTGAATAGGACGGCCGTCTGAGACCGTGAATTAGAGACGAGCTGCCAGTCAGTCTCTAGTGGTGAAGGGAGTTTCCATGCTAGGAGTTTGCTGTGCTCAGAGTCAGTCCTTGTCTTCTCACCTCCCCTCACAGGGAAGCACCACACGTACGCCTAGCCCATCGCCCTCCCGTGTCTCGTGTCCCGAGCAGCCGGAAAGCCCTGGCTTTTCCCTCAGGCCTACCTGGGTGCTGCACGGACGGGAGGCTCTTGCTCCCGGCTTCACGAGCGGCTCCCCGGCCTCGTGTCGGGCCCTTTCTCTGTGGGGATACGGCGAGGGCCGGTGTGGAAGCGCCTGGGGATTGAGGCTAAGGGGAGGAGGCGGGGCGTGGCCCAGCCCCCTGCCTTTTGGCCGGAGCTCTCCTGACCATTCCCAGAATCCTCCTCTGCCGGTCAGTTCCTCCTCACCCTGGAGGCCCATCAGGAGGTGACCCTCGACGCCCCCTTCTTGGAAGTCAGTCAGCTGTCGGAGGCGCACGCTGATTGGCGTCCATAGTCCAGTGGAGACCAGAAATCGGAAGCAGATGGCCACGCCCCGCCTCCACGCTCAGCCCAGGGAGAGGGACCCGGGCACCACTTTCTGTGTAAGCCTGAATAACTCCAGATCGTTTCCAATTTCATCTTTGAATGGGATTCCTCCACTGACACTAATTCCACTTGAAATCTTTCCTCGGCCGTTTGAGAGCCCGGCTGCGTGCCCCAGGCGTTGGGCCATGCCTGAAGTGGATTGAATCACCTCCAGTTCGAAGGCGGAGAACGCGCCCGGTTTGGCATCCGGAGCCCCGGGTTTGCATCCTACCGCTAACGCATCCTCCCCCTCTAGGACCAGGAGCACGTCCCTTCACTTGTTGGCACCTCATTTTCCTCCTCTGTAAGATAAGGGGTCAGGGCGAGTGACCTCGGAGGTCCCTTCCATCTGGAAAAGTCCGTTGGCCACTCGGGACAAATGCGAGCTTCTCTGCCATTGAACGGAATCCGGATCCAAGCATACCGCGGCCTCCCTACCCTCGGAGCTCAGCTTCGCGCCCGTCTGCCTTGGTCACTCTGGGCGTGTTTGGTGCTCGGGCAGCCCGAGCTGGGCCTCGGCTCCTGGCGGCTCACCGTGCCCTCCTCGGGGGCTGGCACCGAGTCTCCCGCTTGGCCCCCACGCTGCTTGTCCTTCCCTTCCCAGGGGTGGCAGCAGGCCAGACGCCCAGCAGCGTGCTGTTGGGAGCAGTGCGCATGGCTGCGCGCCGGGCCTCGAGGACCCCGGGCCTGGGCCCGGAGGACCCCGGGCTCGGGCCTGGGCACGGTCCTCGTCTTGCAGAGCGTGGGGCAGACGTCAGGAGGCTATGAGGGACTCAGCCTGACATTCAGACCCAGGGCTTCTGACCGCATGCCCGCTTTCTCGCCCCTGCTGGGGAAAGAACCCGTGGCTCCAGCATCAGCCTGCGGCAGCCGTGGTCACTGCGCTCGTCTCCCGTCTGCCGTCCTCACGTGCAGACGGTTCCCCACCCTCAGGGCCCCATTTCTGTCTGGGAGAATTTCTGCCGTATGTGGGGTTCTAGATTCACGGGTCTAGAGCTTGAGGTGGGGGAACCTCAGAGGCCTTTGAGACAAGCTTTCTCATTTTACAGATGAGGAAACTGAGGCCCAGAGAGGGATCCCAATATCATAAATCTAGAGGGACCTTAGAAGCCGAACGGGCCGTCTCCCTGGTTTTACGCCTCTGATCGCACTCGGAGTATCAGTGGTGGGCAGCTAGGTGGTCCAGTGGTTAGAGCGCTGGGCCTGGAGTCAGGAAGATGCCTCTTTGTGAGTTCAAATCCAGCCTCAGACACTTACCAGCTGTGTGACCCTGGGAAAGTCACTTCACCCCGTTTGCCTCAGTTTCCTCTTCTGTAAAACAAGCTGAAGAAGGAAATGACAAACCACTCCAGTACCTCTGCCAAGACAACCTCAGATGGGGTCATGAACCCTACTGAAACAACTGACCACCACCACCACCCGTGAAGAGCCGGTGCTCCCACCTGTCCTGTCATGGTCGGTCAGGCTTCTCCCCACTTCTCCACATTGTGGAATTGGAATTCCCTCGGAGAGAGGCCGCCGGTCCCCAGGAGGCGTAGCAGGTCTCGCACTAGAGCCCACGACAGGGAGGCCTCCTCTCCTCCGAGGTCTGTGTTCCGTCGGAGGGGCGTCCCTCTAGTGAATGACGTCTAAGTACAAAGGGGTCACGAGCAGGAGGAGCAGGGGGCCGGCCAGAAGCAAGCAGGTCTCAGCATCTTTCTGGAATCTCCCCTGGGAAAAGCTGCTGCTGAGAAGTCCTGGACGGACAGACAGACTGTGAGCGAAAGCCGGTTTCCAGTTAGTGCCAAGGTTCACGGTCCCTCTGTGCCTTCCAGGAGAGGAAAGCAGCTGTGTGTGGGTGCGGGGAAAGGACGGCCCTTCCCTGCGCTGGAATGCCAGCCAGGGCCGTGGGGCCCGTTGGCGGGTCACTCAGCCCCGACACATGGCGGGGGGCGTTCCTCCTGGAACCCCTGTGGAACTGGGATGTCTACAGTGGTGTACTCTAGTGAGCTCTGGAGCATCGAACAATGGGTGGAATGCTTTGGCGATCCTCTGTCACGTGCAGTTAACTCTGACTTAGGAGAGCCGCGGCCCCGGGGCTTGCTTATTCCCAGGGTGCAGGTGGGCTTCTGTTGACGGAAAATGCTAAAGGTCTTTCCCCTCCCCCTTTCTGCCCTTTCCAGTGCATTCGGGGACGGAAGGCCACGCTGGAGGAGCTGCAGACGGTCCACTCAGAGGCCCATGCCCTGCTCTACGGCACCAACCCCCTGAACAGACAGAAATTGGACAGTAAGAAACTTCTAGGTATTTATTGCAGGATGCTTATCCCCGGGCAGCTCCACCGTCGCGCTCGCGTATGCCCCGCGGGTCCCACGAGGCAGGGCCGTGGCGCTGCGGAGGAAGCCGGGTCACCATCGGCTCGGGCCTGAGCAGGAAGGAGCTCCCTGTCGCTGACCCCGGGGAATCAGTGAGGGAGGGGGACCCCACCGCCCCTTCTTCCACCAGAGCCTCCCGTCATCCTGCTCTTCCCCTCCCCCCAATCTATCCTCCCGACCCGGCTCAGGCCCGGGCCCCACGCACTTTTCTCTTAGATCTTGTTTTTCCTGGTTGGGGGAGGGGTTCTTATAACTATTTTCGGGAGAGACTTGCTCATGATAAGTTTTGGATTATCTGTGTAAACAAGGGACAGCTGACATTATATAGTGCTGTGCTAGGCACTTTACAAAGCCACTCATCGGAGCATCGCGACCCTGGGAGGTAGATGCTGTTAGTATTCCCATTTCACTGGAGGAAACTGAGGCAGACAGAGGGTCACACAGCTAGTCTGAGGCCAGATTTGAACACAGGGCCTCCTGACTCTGGCCCAGCATTCTGTCCACTGGTCCACCAGCGGCCCCTGCTTAAAATCAGGGCACCTGGGCACTGCAAGCATGGGCTACTTCTGTCCACTGAAACCCAGTGAATGGGGGCGGGGGTGAGGCTCTGACCCTGGTGCGGCCCCACCGTCCCCAGGTGGGAGCAGTCCGGAGCTCCGGACGGCACCTCCCAGAGCGTAATAAAGCGCAGGCCTTCAGAGTGATCGTGTATCAATAGTGGGAAGGAGCAGCTAGGATAGATAGTGTTGTAACGTTCACAGCGTGCCTTATATGTGTTATCTCATGTGGTCCTCACAACAGCTGCCCTATGAGGGAACTGCTGCTATCCCCATTTTACAGATGGAAACTGAGGCAGACAGAGGTTAAGTAACCTGCCCAGGGTCATACTGCAAGTAAGTGTCTGAGATGAGATTTGAACTTGGGACTTCCTGACTCCAAGGCCTTTGTCCTATCTGCTGTACCCCCTGACCCCACCTCTAGGGTTCTAGTGCCCCAGTTAAGCCATAGGTTCAGCTTCCAGCGTTATCTAGTCATGATCTTTGCTGGGCAGAGAATGAGCCAAATTAACTGAAATTCATTGAAGTCAGCGCCACCCACGTGGTGCTTCCAGAAACTGCTGCTGCCCTCCTCTTGTTCAGGCCTGCCTGGGGATGACTCCAGCGCCCCGGGCTGCTCTCCCTGCCTCGGGGCTGGGGAGGCTGTGGCTGCAGCAGAAAACTCTGCACCCCCTCCCGCTGCCAGTGATGCTTGTGAAGGGCTGTGACAAATGTGCCCCGCTTCTCCTCCTCCTCCTCCTCTCCTCTCCTTCCCCCTCCCCTCCCTCTCCATCCCCTCCCCCTCCCCCTCCTTCCTCTCCCTCCTCCCCTCCCTCCTCCTCCCCCTCCTCTCCCTCCTTCTCCCCCCTCCCCCCCT